ATTTCCATTTTTGGAGTTAGAGAAGGATCTACAAGGCCAATAAAAAGTTGTGGGACTAGGTGTCTTGCACTATACTAAAATTTTGCGCAACACATAAATTAATATAACGCTATCATAAATTGATTGGTCGATCGACAAGTTATAGATAAAAGATAAATCGAAATTCATTCAAAAATTTATTTCTGGCTTATAAAGCACATATCAATAGAAAACCTAAGTTAACACCAAAGTAATTTGAAAAATAACAAGATAATTCAGAAGATGATGATAATGGTAAAGATGATAGTAGTGGTAAAGAGGTATCCCCATCATCATTGTCAAAACAACAGTAGTAGCAAGCAAAGTGGAACAATGCATTGATTTATTACATGTTGAAACAAGGTTTTTAATTAAACCATTGATTAAATGATGTAAAAAGGAACTTGGAAACTTTGTTACCATGGAAATGTTGATAAGTTTGAACTTCTTGCTAATTAATGCAGTTCAGATCTTATTTTTCTTGAACAATCAGATAATGGTTGTCTTAATGATAATCCCTTTGATTATTCTAATTTTGAAAATTCTACTATTAGTTATTACGATTTTAATGATTATTCATTTTGATTATTATGATGAATTATGATGAGACAATACTAGGCATAGTGGAAGTTTTATATAATAAACTACACAATTAATGAAGTTAGAAATAATAATAATATTAGGACCATAAAATGAAATTTTAAAGGAGCAATTTTTAAAATAATGGTGATAATGGTAATAATATGGCGGTAATGGTAAAAGCAAAGATGGTGACGATGGTGATGGTGATTTGTTCATCGTATTATTCCCCCCCCCCTCCAATTGTACACAAATTCTTTAAAAATCATTTTTAATAAATAATAATAGATCCAAGCTGTATTGAATCTTGGTAAATTTTCAGTCAGACTTTCACTTTGAGCCCTTTATGTCCTCCAATTATTCACATTAAAGAATGTCAAAAAACTGGTGACCCATCTAAAATCCATCTGAAAAAAAAATGGTCTATTATATGCTGCACAAAACCACAATTACTGGCAATTGGGATTTTTCATATGAATATTCAATCACCAAATTTAAATGTTTTAAATTTCCACCACAAAGTCTTTTAAAAAATCGAATGCATTTATTAATTAATTTGTTGCAAAATAAATGAGCATTACGATTGGTTAATTTTATTACATATTATGTCACAGTTATCTTCAATAGTTCAAGAACATAAAGTTCATAAAGTTATATCATTTCAAGATAATATGACGTATGAATTCATTAGAAGTATCTTTATACATTTAATTCATCAAAACCCAGTCTAAAAACTTCTACTATTTATTAATAGCAACACAAATACCTCTATATCTATAATCCGAGGAAAAAGAGTATATCTCATGTTGAATTGAATATTTTTATTCATAAATAACATATTTTAGAATGTTGAAAGAACATTACTCATCATCGAATTATAATACAGTGCGGATCATCTATACTCAAAATTTTTGAAATATTATATGATCCACACATTGGATTTCAAAAAACTTACCACCATTCAATTCAGCTTTAAAAGGGGAGTCTATTAATATATAAAAAAAATTTGTCTCAAATTTTC